GCCCCCTTGGCTCCAGAAAATCTGGATTCTATGAGAATATCAAATTCTGCCCTGTATTTTCCCCCTTTTGATCAGGATTATTCTACAGAATCTTTGATCAAAATGTTCACTAATGGTAGGGGGGCATCGCTATCTAGTTCTTTTGGTCTCTTGGGCAAGGTGGGAGTTGTTCATAGAGGCAATGAGCCACAAATTCCATTTCCTTCTCCTATTTCTGACTCTCCTTCTTCCTCTGTTACTGTAGGTAAATAGAGGCCAATTGTTGTGCCTTGGATGGCCGCTTGCAAGGTTTTAAGACCCCAGGCACTACGCAGTGAACTAGGAGGTAGAACAGAAGCACTAAGCATGTTATTAGGCAAGTTAAGTGGGATATCCCATGAAACCATAACTGTAAATCTCAAGGTCAAGGAACCAAATCCCATGAGGTGTTTGCTTGTACATAAGCAGCCTCAGCAGGTATTCTTTTATGTTGTTGTTGTTGTAAATATGTCTACCACACAACTTTTGCCAATTCAACTTTTTACAGGTATACAACTTGTTGACAACAATTACGTTAATTGGCTGTGCAACACTACTCTTAATCAATACGATTTTTCCATTACTGTAAACCAAAAATCAGTACTCCATAAGCAGTAAAGCCCCCTTTCCCTTCCACCCATGGTAATCACTAATAAACTTTGGTCTCTATACATTTGCCTGTTCTCGTCTTTTTATTTAAGTGAGGCCATATAACATTTGTCCTTTTATGATTGACTTATTCCACTCGCCATGATGTTTTCAAGCTCTGTCCTTACTGTAGCATTATCAAGACTTCATTTCTCTTACTGTGTAGTATTCCATTAGATGTATGTACCACATTTTGTTTATCCATTCATCCGTTCATGGGTATTTAGGTTCTTTCCATCTTTTGGCTATTGTGTATAGTGCTGCAATGAACATTGAAGTATGTATCTGTTTTTGAGGCTTTACTTTCAAGTCTTTCCGGTATATACCTAGGAGTGGAATTGCTTTTTCATACAGCAGTTCTATTTTTAGCTTTCCAAGGAACTACCAAACTATTTTCCACAACCTCTGTACTATTTCTGCATTCCCGTCAGCAATGGAAAAGGGTTCGAATTTCCCCACATCTTGCCAACATTTGTGGGAGTGAAATGGTATCTCATTGTGGTTTTGATTTGCACCTCTCTGATGGTTAATTACTTTGAACTTCTTTTCATATGCGTGGTGGCCATTTTAATGTCCTTTTTGGTGAAATGTCTGTTCAACACCTTTGCTCATTTTATTCCTGGTCTGTTTGTCCTTTTGTTTTTACGTTGTCATCCCATACCCTTTTTAACATTTTAAAACAAAGTGGATGGGAAAATTTGTCCTTTTGGATTCAGTCTGTCTGTAGAAATGTATTATTTTTTAATCGTGAACTTGATGTTAGACAACCTTGGTTTTAGCCGGACCTTTAGTTACTTGACTCTGGACAGCTGACCATTGGAGTCTCTTTTATGATTTGTAAAATGGAAATAATGAGAAATGCTTACCTCATGGTATTGTTGTTAGGTTTAAAATTAAATATAGTAAAATCTGTTAATATATATGAAAGTGCTTAATGCAGTACCTTTCCTGTATTTGGTTTTCAGTAATTGTTTTATTTACTGGGTGAATAATCTGTTGAATACATTATATAAGATAATATATTGGAAGACACTTTATAAACTTTAGGTAAAATGTAAGGTATCATTCTTCCCCTTTATCTATAAGTGTATATCAGTTTCATTATTTCCCATTTATCAATGACAATTCTCCATTTGCCCTGAGTTCTGGCTGTCATATGCAGGGGATGGAGAAAGAAACTAGATGATGTTAACTTCATATCTGTATGTTTATACATTTTTTGAATAGTTTATTTTATTTATATATATTATTTAATTTTTGTCGTTGTTGAGATTGTTGTTGTTATTGTTAGGTGCTGTTCACTCGGTTCCGACTCATAGCAACCCTATGCACAAAAGAACAAAACACTGCCTGGTCTTGTGCCATCCTCACGGTTGTTGCTGTGTTTGAGCCCGTTGTTGCAGGCACTGTGTCAGTCCATCTCATTGAGGGTCTTCCTCTTTTTTGCCGACCCTCCACTTTACCAAGCCTGATGTCCTTCTCCAGGGACTGATCCCTCCTGATAACACGTCCAAAGTATGTGAAACATAGTCTCTCCATCCTTGCTTTTAAGGAGCATTCTGGTGGTACTTCTTCCAAGACAGATTTGTTCATTCTTTTGGCAGTCCATGGTATATTCAGTATTGTTTGCCAGCATCACAATTCAAAGGCATCAGTTCTTCTACAGTCTTTCTTATTCATTGTCCAGCTTTCACATGCATAGGAGGCAATTGAAAACACCCATGGCTTGTGTCAGGTGCACCTTAGTCCTCAAAGTGACATTTTTGCTTTTCAAAACTTTAAAGAGGTCTTTTGCAGCAGATTCACCCAATGCACTGTGTCTTTTGATTTCTTGATTGCTGCTTCCATGGGTGTTGATTGTGCATTCAAGTAAAATGAAGTCTTTGACAACTTCATTCTTTTCTCCATTTATCAGGATGTTGCTTATTGGTCCAGTTGTGAGGACTTCTGTTTTCTTTATGTTGAGATGTAATCCATACTGAAGGCTGTGGTATTTGATCTTCATAAGTAAGTGCTTCAAGTCCTCTTCACTTTCAGCAAGCAAGGTCATGTCTTCTGCATAATGCAGGTTGTTAATGAGTCTTCCTCCAATCCTGATGCCTTGATCTCTTCATATAGTCCAGCTTCTCAGATTATTTGCTCAGTATACAGATTGAATAAATACGCAGAAAGGATACAATCCCGATGCACACCTTTCCTGACTTTAAACCATGCAGTATCCCCTTGTTCTGTTCAAACGACTGCCACTTGATCCATGTATAGGTTCCTCAGGAGCACAATTAAGTGTTCCAGAATTCCCATTCTTTGCAGTGTTATCCGTAATTTGTTATGATCCACACAGTTGAATGCCTTTACATTGTTAGTAAAACACAAGTAAACATTTTTCTAGTATTCTTTGCTTTCAGCCCGTATCCATCTGATGTCAGCAGTGATATCCCTGGTTCCATGGCCTCTTCTAAATGCTGCTTGAATTTCCGGCAGTTTCCTGTTCATATACTTCTGCAGCCGCTTTTGAATGATCTTCAGCAAAATTTTACTTGCGTGTGATGTTAATGATATTGTTCGATAATTTCTGCATTCGGTTGGATCATCTTTCTTGGGAATAGAATAGGCATAAATACGGATCTCTTCCAGTCAGTTGGCCAAGTAGCCATCTTCCAAATTTCTTAGCATAGACGAGTGAGCACTTCCAGTGCTGCATCCATTTGTTGAAACATCTCAGTTGGTATTCCATCAATTCCTGGAGCCTTGTTTTTTGCCAATGACTTCAGTGCAGCTTGGACTTCTTCCTTCTGTACCATCGGTTCCTGATCATATGCTGCCTCCTGAAGTGGTTGAACATTGACCAGTTCTTTTTGGCATAGTGACTCTGTTGTGTATTCCTTTCGTCTTCTTTTGATGCTTCCTGTGTCGTTTAATATTTTCCCCGTAGAATCCTTCAGTATTGCAACTTGATGCTTGAATTTTTTCTTTATTTCTTTCAGCTTCAGAAATGCTGAAAATATTCTTCCCTTTTGGTTTTCTATCTCCAATTCTTTGCACATTTCATTGTAATGTATAATACTTTGTCTTTTTGAGCCACTCTTTGAAATCTTACTGTTTAGCTCTTTTATTCATCATTTTTTCCTTTTGCTTTAGCTACTCGACCTTCAAGAGCAAGTTTCAGTCTCTTGACGTCCATTTTGTCTTTTCTTTCTTTGCTGTCTTTTTAATGACCTCTTGCTTTCTTCATGTATGATGTCCTTGATGTCATTCCACAACTCATCTGGTCTTCAGTCATTAGTGTTCAACACGTCAGATCTGTTCTTGAGATGGTCTCTAAATTCAGGTGAGATGTACTCAAGGTCGTCGTACTTTCGCTTTCATGGACTTGTTCTAATTTTCTTCAGTTTCAACTTGAGCTTGCATATGAGCAGTTGATGGTCTGATCCGCAGTCGGCCCCTGGCCTTTTTCTGACTGATGATATTGAGCTTTTCCATTGACTTTTTCCACAGATGTAGTTGATTTGATTCCTGTGTAGTCCATCTTGTGAGGTCTACGTGTATAGTCACTGTTTATGTTGGTGAAAAAAAAAAGGTATTTGCAGTGAAGAAGTCGTTGGTCTTCCAAAATTCTGTCATACAATCTCAAGCATCGTTTCTGTCACCAAGGCCATACTTTACAACTGTTGATCCTTGTTTTTTGTTTCCGACTTTTGCATTCCAATCACCAGTCATTATCAGTGCATCCTGATTGCATGTTTGATCAATTTCAGACTGCAGAAGTTGGTAAAAATCTTCAATTCTTTCATCTTTGGCCTTTGTGGCCAGTGTGTAAATTTGAATAATAGTGACATTAACTGTTCTTCCTTGTAGGTGTATGGATATTATCCTATCATGACAGCATTGTACTTCAGGATAGATCTTGAAATGTTCTTTTTGATGATGAATGCAACATTGTTGATCTTATACACAGCAAAACTGTACAGCAAATCAGATTTCTGCATGTACATTCAGTGACACTGATTACATTCTTCAAATTGTGCAACCATTCTCCCCTTTTCTGAGATGTTCCTCCCCTACTAAAATAAATTCACTGCCCTCTAAGTTTTCTGTCTAGTCTTTTGAGTTGCTGTTGTCAGTTTCATCCCATATAGGTATAGATCTGTTTACATTGTGCATTTATCAAATACCTGGTAATTTCCCAATAAACACATTCCTAGTGTTCAGCCAAAAACTGTTAACCCACTTTCTTTTTAGATGACTTGGAATGATTGACTTTAGTATGTATCACTATCTTTTAGGCACATGGATTCTCTGTCGTACCTTAAATTGAATTTTCTTTTCTCTTCTAGGTTATCAGTTGTGTTTTCCATCAAATGCTGAATGTAATATTAATGTTAGAAGTTGGAGAAGGATCTCATCGCACCTCCCTTACTATTACTTCACAAGTCATTAATAGTAGAAACCAGGCAGTACAGTTCATCAGGTGAAGCACACATATTTTGAATTTTTACTCTCTCACTGTCCCTCAGTCCTTTGGGCCCTATGCTCACCAGGATTTCTGACACCTATGGTGGCAGAATTTCAGGCCTGTTTATGGTTTTAGGGGTCAAAATAAAGCACTTCATAGCTGATGTGGTTCATGCAGTCTAGGTCACTGTTGGTGACCTCTGCACTGGGGCCTGGTTAACGGACCAGGAGTCCACAGTTCCTGGGCCTGAGCCAGAGCCAGCCTCCAGCTTGTCTCATCCTACCTGTGAGATCTTTCTCTGGGTAGTAATGGCCTCTGTTTTTTTCTCTTTTTCTCTGCTGCCTTGTTTATCATTCCAACAACTCTGCCTGTTTTCTTTCTATTTCATGCTTTTCTGTTTCCTTTAGTTCCTTGCCACTTTTTCCCTTTCTTCCCCCCCTACTTTTCTGTTCTCTTACTCCTACAGAAAAATATTTTCTAAAGGAAAGAATTGAGTTGCTTTTTACTTCTTTAGCAATAATCGATTGACTAATTTTTCCTCATAAGTCACTCAGATTCACTTGAAAAGTCACGTCTTAGCTTTATTTGGAAAGACATCTTTCCTATTCCGTTAGCTTTTCTTTCCCTCCTGTATTGAATATTTGACATGGGGCATAGAGGTGGTGGAAAGAAATGGTATTTGTATATGAGTGTACATACCTCTAGGTATGCACAGAACATAATGTGGTTGGAGATGTGGTATGTCAATGATCTTTGCATCCACATACAGTGTCATCAAATCCCTGAGCAACAGTCTCTTGCTAAGGGTTTTTTTGAACATTAAATAACTAAGATGTTTTAAGTAGAAACACTTCCACTTTTGATCTTCAGTGAGAGTTCATGTTGTTGCCAGTTCAGTGATATTCAAATAATGGTGCAAATAAACTTACCAGTAAAAGTGGGCCGTATCTGAGAGTTACAGTAATTTCTTCTTGGATTAAAGTTTAAAGAGGTAATGTCACATTCATAAAAGTAGCGTTTTACTGAGCTACCACAAGGTGGTACTGTGTCATATTCTCTTCATATATTTATCCCTAAATGATAGATTTTAAATATGAAATTTAGTAAGTAGTCAAAGAATAATATGAAGATTCTACCCTTCCTCCTTCATTACTGTACCTCTCTACTCGGTGACAGCTCTTTAAAACCATGATAGCAAGTATTTAATAGTTTTCTGCTATGATATTTTATATCAATTCTTTGTTCTACCAAAACGACTTGTAATATTGGAGTAGATTGTTTTTAATATTTAGAAATTCTAAAATATAGTAGTGGCTTTTTAGGATTGAATGAAGAAAAATTACTATTTTATTGTAATAGTAGATGTGTTGTAACGGGATATGTTTTTTTTTTTTTTAAATAGCTTACTTGTGGAAGAACTAAAAGAAAGTATATTCCCGGTCCTTCGTATCTTACTCCAGCATATTTGTGCCAAGGTATCATTTGATTTAATAATAGTACTACAGATACAAGTATATATATGTATATGTATATATGAAAGTGTGTATGTGTATTTGTTCTCCAGAATGAGTCCGTATGCTTACTAAAAGTGTTTTATTTAATAGTCATTAGATGTTTCCCTAGACAGTATGTTCTTTAAAAAAAAAAAATGATCTTGGAAAATTTGAAACATATACAAAAATGGAGAGACTAGGGAGATGAATCATCAGATACCCATCACCCAGCATCTACACTCTTGTGTTATTTACACCCCTACTTGTACCCCCGATATGTACACATACCAGGTTGTTATTTTGAAGAAAATTCCATATTTTATACATAAATATTTCAGTGTGTATTTCTGAAAGTGAAGAATCTAAAAAGATAACCACAAAACTATTCAGAATATTAACACATCTATAAACAACACAAGAATTCCTTAATATCATCAAATATCCAGATGATGTTCAAATTCCCATGATTATCTCTTAAATTTTTATAAAAGTTTGGACACATGTTTCCTAACTTAAAGCCCATGGATCCTCCAGGTCCATGAACTCCCTGAAATTATATGCTAAGTTTATATGTGCATTTTTCTGGGGAGAGGGTTTATAAATATAGTTGAGTTTACAAAGAAATCTGAAACCAAAAATGTGTTACTTGTAAAGATAACTCACTAATTTTTAACTTGTGTTAGAACGTGTGCTCTAGTTTTCCTGCAGGTGGATATTGTCTGAACAGCTTCTCTTTTTGTGTTTCAGGTGATAGATAAGTCAGAGTACCGGACCTATGCAGCCCAGTCCCTGGTTCATTTGCTCAGTAAACTTCCTTCTGTGGAATATGCTACATTCATTGCCTGGCTTTACAGATACTCACGAAGTTCCAAGGTAGGAGAAATATCTGCGTGGCATCTTTGATTTTTTTATTTTTGACAGCCATATCTGAATACATAACTGGGGTTTCTTTGGTTGTTATTCCTATCTGATGGAAATTCTTATGATTTTGCTTTACCAGATCCCACATAGGGTTTTTACTCTTGATGTTGCCTTAGCTCTATTAGAACTACCAGAAAGAGAGGTGGATAACACTCTTTCCTTGGAGCATCAGAAGTTCTTAACGCATAAGTTCTTGGTACAAGAAATTATGTTTGACCGTTGTTTAGACAAGGCACCTACTGTCCGCAGCAAGGCGTTGTCCAGTTTTGCACATTGTCTGGAGCTATCTGTTACTAACACGTCAGAGAGTGTACTGGAACTTCTCATTAACAGTAAGTATGGCAGCTGTTGTCACATGAAACCTAGCTTGTGCTTGCCAAGAAATTAGACTCACAGGAATCATTCTTTGTTGTGACAAAAATAATAGATATGCTATGATATGTTTTTATCCTCATAAATCCATTTTACTATCTTTTGCCATATAACATGGTAGGCAAGCCTGATACATTTAAAAGGCCTTATAATTTCAAATAGTCATGTTTTAGAAATGAGAATGTTGGCTGCCTTTAATATTACTTTGCATTGTTGGGCATAGAATTGGGTATATTGAGCCTAATACCCATTTGAAGAGCTTGCCCAAGAAGGAGTACATTATTGTCAGCAATTTAGAACTTGTCTTCCTTGTTTTTAGGCCTGATTATCTTGAATTTAATTCCTTTGTGAATCTTTATTTAGAGTTTATGACAGTGTGACTTTTTCCTTCTCTTCTCTGTCTGCTTATTTTTAGGTCGTGCAGTTTCAGGAATAGAGAGCCACCCTGGTACCTTATTGAGAAATTCATTAGGTAATGAATCAATGTATTTTCAAATATTGAATAATTACCTTTTTACTTAAATGAATTGTTGAATATTTGAAATGTTATATTTGCCTGTTTAATATTATATATTTTTTTGCTTCATCAAGGAATTTGAAATTTGTTTTAGTAATGATTTAGCAACTTAAATGAGTATCATGCTATGCTTACATTGCCAAAAGGTGTGACAAATTTTTACCTTAATGACTTTCCCTTTTTAAATTATTTTTAAGGTTTTTCCTTTCAGAAGCAGACGTTTAACCCTTCTGGAGCCTCAGAGATGACCAGTACAGACAAGAGTGCTGAAACAGCTCGATCAGGGGGTATGTCAGATTTTATCACTGTCAGAGGGATAATAGCTATTGATTTACAGAAAACTGTCAGTAGAATCTAAAAACTTTATATTTTTTTCCGATTAATTCACCCCCATAAATTGAAATATCTTTTTAAGTGGAGTAATTTCCATTTTATTGTATCTTTAACTGATGACTTTGCATTATCCTATATGTCATTTTAAGATTAAAGAATAAGCTACATTTCTGTTATCATATACTGAACCCCAATATGTTGTTAACACTTAAGAGAATATACATCAAAAGAAGATGGAAAGAATACATAGTACGTGTACCAAAAAGAATTGGTCAGCGTTTAGCCATTTCAGGAGGTAGCATGTGATCAAGAACCGATGGTACTTAGGGAAGAAGTGCAAGCTGCACTGAAATCATTGGCAAAAAAAAAAAAACCTCCAGGAATTGATGGAATACCAACTGAGATGTTTCAACAAACGGATGCAGTGCTGGAAGTGCTCAGTTGTCTATGTCAAGAAATTTGGAAGACAGCTACCCGGCCAGCTGACTGGAAGAGAACCGTATCTGTGTCCGTTCCAGAGAAAGGTGATCCAACAATATGCAGAAATTACTGAACAATATCATTTGTGTCACACACAAGTAAAATTTTGCTAAAGATCATTCAGAAGCAGTTGCAGCAGTATATAAACAGGGAACTGCCAGAAATTCAAGCTAGATTCATAAGAGGTTGTAGAATGAGGCATATCATTAGTGATGTCAAAAAGGTTGTTACCTGTGGTTTATTGACTATGCAAAGGCATTCGATGTGTGGATCACAACAAATTATGGGTAACATTGCGAAGAATGGGAATTCTGGAACACTTAGTTGTGCCCATGAGGAACCTATTCATAGACCAAGAGGCAGTTGTTCAAACAGAACAAAAGGATTAAAGTCAGGAAAGGTGTGCGTCAGGGTTGTATCTTTTCACCAACCTTATTCAGTCTGTATGCCCAGCAAATAATACGAGAAGCTGGACTATATGAAGAATGCGGCATCAGGATTGAAGGAGGACTCATTAACAACCTGTGATATGTAGATGACACAGCCTTGCTAGCTGAAAGCTAAGAAGACTTGAAGCACTTACTGATGAAGATCAAAGACTACAGCCTTCTGTATGGATTACACCTCAACATAAAGAAAACAAAAATCCTCACAACTGGACCAATAAGCAACATCATGATAAACAGAGAAAAGATTGAAGTTGTCAAGGTTTTCGTTTTACTTGGATTCTCAATCAGTACTCATGGAAACAGCAATCAAGAAATCAGATAACGCATTGCACTGGGCAAATCTGCTGCAAAACAACCTCTTTAATATGTTAAAAAGCAAAGATGTCACTTTGAGGACTAAGGTGTGCCTGACCCAAGCCATGGTGTTTTCAGTGACCTCATATGTATGTGAAAGCTGGACGATGAATAAGGAAGACTGAAGAAGAGTTGATGCCTTTGAATTATGGTGTTGGTGAAGAATATTGACTATACTACGGACTGCGAGAAGAACGAACAGGTCTGTCTTTGAAAAAGTACAGCCAGAATGCCCCTTAAAAGCAAGGATGGTGAGACTTCGTCTCACATTCTTTGGACATGTTATGAGGAGGGACTAGTCCGTGGAGAAGGACATCATGCTCAGTAATGTAGAGGGTCACCGAAAAAGAGATGGACCCTCAATGAGATGGGTTGACACAGTGGCTGCAACAGCAAGCTCAAACTTAAAAATCATTATGAGGATGGTGCAGGACTGGGCAGTGTTTCTTTCTGTTGTACATAGGGTTGCTATGACTTGGAACCAACTCAATGGCACCTAACAACAACAAGAGAATATAAGAAAATATTTTTTTATTAAAGTAAATGGTTATGAACTCTTGGGATTGCTGACCAACAAGGACCAGTTACTAGAGAAACTGCAGTAGAGTTTAAATTTATGTTTGGGAAAAAATCATCACAAAAGGGAAAAAAGGAAGAATGCTGTGGTACCCAGTCTTGTTCCTGTTTTTAGTACCTTGTCACTTTTGCTACCATGTTGTCTTCACTTTGATTAAGCCATCCCAGAATTTACTTTTAATAACATGATAGGGAACTTTGAATCCAAACTTCCATTGAAAAAGACAATTCAGGATTTAGTTTATAATTTCTCTGCACCAACAGTATGAACTATTTTTTAAATATAATTTTTGTTGTTGAGAATTTACACAGCAAAAACATACACCAGTTCAAGTTTGTACATGTACAATTCAGTGACATTGATTACATTCTTGGAGTTGTGCAGCCATTCTCACCCGTCTTTTCTGAGTTGTGCCTCCTTCATTAACATAAACTCACTGCCTCCAAATGTTCCTATCTAGTCTTTTGAGTTGCTGTTGTCAGTTTGATGCCATATAGACAGATTTTAAAAGAGCATAGTGGTCAAGGCAGACATTCTTTAGTAGTTAAGCTAAACTATTATTTGGTTTAAAGAAGACTTCAGGGGATGTTATTTGTTTAACGTTTAAAGATAATCTCAGGGCAGTAGTTTCAGGGCTTCATCCACCCTCCATGGCTCCAGAAAGTCTGGATTCCAGGAGAATTCTTTCCTTCATTTTCTCCCTTTTGATCAGGATTCTTCTATAGAATCTTTGATCAAAATGAGTACGAACCATTTTTAATGGGTCGTACATATTGTGTATTTTTTTGCAGTTTGCATTATAACTAATTTTCACTGATTTGAAGTTGTATTTTTATAGGAATAGACTTATGGAGTGGTTATGGGCCTTTTCTCCCATGGACTGCAGCACAGGATTCTGAACACAGTAGATGTTGACTTGTTGAGCCCATAATAATCTGGGATGTTTAAGTGTCAGTGTGATTCAGGAGGGAAAAAACAAGCCTGGACTAGGCATTAGGCAGACTTGGAGCCTAAAAAGTCACTTTACTTCGCTGGACTCCTTTTTCATCTGTAATATGAAATAGTATTCTGTAGTAGAGAAAACACTGTATTAGAAATTAGGAGCAGTCTGAATTTTTGTACCTAATTGTTACCAATTAGCAGCATGACCCAAGACATGGTAGTCAGCAAAACTCTAATTGTCAAATTTTCTGATTCTGACACCTTCCCTATTTATCACAAAGTGCTGTTGTGAGAGTGATTTAAATACATAGGAATATATATACATATATATGTAAAGAGGAGAGTGTGTGTCTGTGTAGGAGAGTTAATTGTGTAATTTGGTTTATTCATGTAATAAACATTTATCTCATACAGACTTGAATAAAACGTAGTTCCTTCTCTCAAGAAGCTTACAGACCAGTGAGAGGGACAGATGTGTGTATATATACACCTGTGATGTAGGTGCTGAGGTATATGTAAAGTTCTGTGAGGATAATTAAAAAACCAAAAACCACACCTGTTGCCGTCAAGTCAATTCTAACTCATAGCGACCCTATAGGACAGATTACAACTACCTCATAGGGTTTCTAAGGAGATGCTGGTGGATTTGAACTGCTGACCTTTTGGTTAGCAGCCCAAACATTTCAGTCTAGAAGATCAGCATAGAATTAGATTTCTGTGGCTAGATATTAGCATCTGTTACTCAGATTAAATTAGAGCAATAAGTGAATTTATAAGACACAGATTCCCTAAAATATTATCGAGATTTAATCTGGAAAAACACTGAGTGTTTGTGTTGACTCCATTCTTCCTTTGCAAATACAGTTTTACTGTTGTATAGACTTTCCTAAGCAATACCAATTTATGTTGTTTTAATGAGGCTTTCAAATTATAGAACTTTACCAGATATAAAGAGCCAATGTTCCTATCTTATTTTTGATAAAGGATTTATATTGTTGGCATTGATTATACATAGAAAATTTGTAGAGTTACCAGATGCCAGGCACTTTTCTTAAAATTGAGATATAATTCACATACCATAAAATTTACCATATAAGTGTACAATTCAGTGGTTTTTAGTATATTCACAAGATTTTGCAGTCACCACTTTTATTATAGAACATTTTCATCACCCCCAAAATAAAGTTCACATCCATTAGCAGTCACACTTATTTCCATCTCCCTCCAGCCCCTGACAAACCTCTCATCTGCCTTCTATCTCTATGAATTTGCAAATTCTGGACATGTTACCTAAATGGAATCAGAAAATACGTAGTCTTTTGTGTCTGGCTTCTTTCACTTGGCATAATGTTTTCAAGGTTCATCCATGTTCTATCATGTATCAGTACTTCATTGTTTTTTATGGCCAAATAATATTCCATTGTATGGATGGACCACCCTGTGATTATCCAGGCATCAGTTGATGGACGTTTGGGTGTTTCTGCTGTTTGGCTATTATGAATAATGCTGCTGTGAACATTCTTGAACAAATTTTTGTGTGAACATATGTTTTCATTTCTGTTGAGTATATACCTGGAAATGGAATTGATGAGTCATGTGGTAAGTCTGTATTTAACCTTCTAAGGAACTGCCAAACTTTTCCAAAGTGGCTACACCATTTTACATTCACACCAGCAATGTATGAGGTTTCCAATTTCTCTGTATCCTCATGAACACTTGTTACCATCTGCCTTTTTTATTATAGCCATCCTCCAAAACACGTTACCATCAAGTCAATTCCAGCTCATAGTGATCCTGTAGGACAGAGTAGAACTTCCCCATAGGGTTTCCAAGGCTTTAAATCTTTACGGAAGCAGACTGCCACATCTTTCTCCACTGGAGCAGCTGGTGAGTTCGACTCACCAGCCTTTCAGTTAGCAGCTGAGCGCTTAACCACTGTGCTACCAGGGCTTCTTATAGCCATCCTAGTGGATGTGAAAGGAACCCAATGGTTAAGTGTTCAGTTGGTAACCTAAAGGTTGGCAGTTTGAACCCGCCCAGTGGCTCTACAGGAGAAAGACCTGGCAGTCTGCTCCTGTAAAGATCACAGGCTAGAAAATTCTGTGGGGCAGTTCTACTCTGTCACTTGAGGCCAGTGTGAGTTGGAATGGACTTAATGACTCCTAAGAACTACAATGGGTAGTGAAGTATTATCTCATTGTGTTTTTTATTTGCATTTCCCTAATGAGCATCTTTTCCTGAGCTTATTGACCATTTTTATGTCTATTCAAATCTTTGCCCATTTTTTTTTATTGGGCTGTTTGTATTTTTATTGCCGAGTTGTAAGAGTTCTTTATATACTGTGGATACTTGATAGATGAGTAGAAATATTTTTTCATCCATTATGTCGGTTGTCTTTTCATTTTCTTGGTGTCTTTTGAAGCACAAAAATTCTTAATTTTGATGAAGTCCAGTGTGTCTATTTCTTCTTTTGTGGCTTTTGTGCTTTAGGTGACATATTTAAGAAACCAAGGTCACAAGGATTTATACTTATGTTTTTGTCTATGAGTTTTATAGTTTTAGATCTTATATTTAGGTCTTTGATCCATTTTGAGTTAATTTTTGCGGTTTAAAGTAAGAGTCTAATTTATTCTTTTGAATGTGAATATCCAGTTGTCCCAGCATGATTTGTTGAAAAGACTTTTTTTTTTTCCCTCATTGAATTGATTTTGGCACTGCTGTCAAAAATCATTTCACCATAAATGTATGGGTTTATTTGTCTACTCTTAATTCTATTCCATTGATCTATATGTCTGTCTTTTTACGCGTACCACAGAGTCTTGATTACTGTAGTTTTGTAGTAAGTTTTAAAATTTGGAAGTGTGAGTTCTCCATCTTTGTTCTTCTTTTTTGAGATTTGTTTGACTGTTTTGGGTCCCTTGTATTTCCATATGAATTTAAGGATCAGCTGTCAATTTCTGCAAAAAAAAAAAACCTGGGATTTTGGTAGGGATTGATCTATAGATTAATTTAGGAAGTATTACTATCTTAACAGTATTCTACTTTGAATATTAAGTCATTGAATCTTCCAATCCATATACATGGAATGTCTTTCCATTTAATTAGGTTGTCTTTAATTTATTTCAACATTTTTTAATTTTAATATACAACTGTTATACTTTTTAAAAATTTATTCCTAAGTAATTTATTCTTTTTATGCTATTTATGTGGACTTGTTTTCTTAATTTTATTTTTGAATTGCTGATTGCGAGTGTATAGAAATACAACTAATTTTTATGTATTGATATTGTATCTTGCTACCTTCCTGAACTCACTTATTAGCTATAATAGTTGTTTGTGTGTGTTGGGGGGGTTTCATTAGTATTTTCTGAATATAAGGTTATGTCATCCGCAAACAGAGATAGTTGTACTTCTTCCTTTGCAGTCTGGAAGTCTTATTTTTCTTGTGTAATTGTCCTGGCCACAACCTCCAGTATAATCTTGAGTAGAAGTAGGAAGAGTGGACATTGAATATGATGTTAGCTGTGGGTTTTTTTGTGGATGTCCTTTATCAAGTTGAGGACATTCTCTTCTGTGTCTAGTTTCTTGTTTGTTTTTGTTATGAAAGGGTTTTGCCTGATGTTTGTCATATGCTTTTTCTGAGTCTGTTGAGATAGTTTTTTCCTTTATTCTATTAATATGGTATATTACACTGATTGATTTTCATATTGATTGAACCAACCTTTCATTCCTGAGATAAATCCCACTTAGTGATGATATATAATCCTTTTTATTTCATGCTGGATTTGGTTTGCTAATATTTTGTTAATAATTTTGTGTGTGTATTTATAAGGAATATTGGTCTCTCATTTTCTTTTCTTGTGATGTCTTTGTCTGGTTTTAGTAACAGGGTAATACTGGCCTCACAGGATGAGATGGAAGTGTTTTCTATTTCTTGGAACAAGTTTCTGAAGGATTGATGTTAATTTTGTTTTAATGTTTGATAGAATTCTCCATTGAAGCTGTCTAGTCTGGTGCTTTTCTTTTTTTTTGGTATGGGAAATTTTTGATTACTAATTCAATTTTTTGACTTGTTATAGGTCTATTTAGATTTTCCATTTCTTCTCAGTCAGTTTTGGTAGTTTTGTGTTTCTCTATAAATTTATCCATATTATTTGGTTATCTAATTGGCTGGCATAAAATTGTTCATAGTATTTCTTTATAACCCTTTTTATTTCTTTAAGGCAGGTAGTAATGTCCATTCTTTCATTCTGGATTGTAATAATTTGAATCTTTTTTATTTTCTTGGTTAGTCTAGCTAAAGAATTATTAATTCTGTTGATCTGTTCAAAGAACTAGCTTTTGGTTTCATTATCTTTCTCTATTGTTTTTCTGTTCTCTGTTTCATTTTTTAAGTGTTTCTTATACATCAGTGGTTATCAAAGTATGGTTTGGGGGCCCTTGAGCATCCCTAAGACTCCTTCAAGGTGTCTTCGAAGTCAATAGTGTTTTCATAATAATATCAAGTATTGTTTACCTTCTGCACTCTGATTTTCTCACAAGTATAATCTGGAGTTTTCCAGAGACTATGATATATGAGCTCACAACAGATTGAATGCAGAAGCAGGTATGAGACTTTAGCTGTCTTTTATAAAGTCAGGCATTAAAGAGTTTGCAAAATGTAAATTAGTGCCATTCTATTTACTAAATTTTTTATTGTTTTGGAAAATATAGTTATTTTTATAAAAATATGGAATTTATATTAACATGTCTTGCTACTTTAAAATATTTTTACAATTCTCAGTTTTGATTTTTAATTTGTAAATATTGAAAGATATAATCCATATAAACAAAAGCTCTTTGGGGTCCTCAGTAATTTTTAATAGCATAAAGGGGCCTGTGACCAAAACTTTGTGAGACCTCTGTTACATATGACCGTATCTCATTTAATCTTAAAAACAACCCTGTGGGCTAGACATTCCTATTTGTAGCTAAACAAAATGTAAGAACTAATAATTCACTCAGAATTTTAGGGGTAGAAGCCAGGGTTTAAAACCAGGTTTTTAATACTCCAAATTTATGCCCTTTTTATTATACTAGTCTGCTTTTTGCGTTATTGTGAATTGTTAATTATTAGGATTTTTTTCTTTCTTTTTGTATACTCATACTGTGATATCTTAGAATTTAAAACAGCAAATTGGAAAGACTTTTAGACTATTTTCTTGGTGTTGTGTGGTGAAATGTAGGTATCGTGTAGTCTTTCTCACACCATAATGATTCTTTGGCGTTCTCTCAACAGAAAGATGTGTCATGGCAATGCTGAGGAAGAGGATCAGGGATGAGAAGACCAATGTTAGAAAATCTGCACTCCAGGTGTGAATTTTTTCTAGACTTTTTTTTGTGTGTGTGTGTTTTAGGTGAAAGAAGTTTACAGAGCGAATTAGTTTCTCATTCAGAAATTTATAGACAGATTGTTTAGTGACAATGGATGCAATTCCCACACTGTATCAGCACTCTCCCCGTTTCCACCCCAGGTTCTCCATGTCCATTAGTCCCGTTTTCCTGTCCCTTCCTGGCTTCTTGTCTTTGATTTGGGCAGGTGTTGCCCATTTGGTCTCATATACTTGATTGAACTAAGAAGCACGTTCCTGGCATGTGTTATTGTTTGTTTTGTAGGCTTGTGTAATCTTTGGCTGAAAGGTGGACTTCAGGAGTGGCTTCAGTTCTGAGTTAACGGGATGTCCAGGGGCTGTAGCCTCGGGGATTCCTACAGTCTCTGTCAGACCAGTAAGTCTGGTCTTTTTTTGTGAATTCGAATTTTGTTCTACCTTTTTTTCCCCTGCTCTGTCTGGGACCCCCTATTGTGATCCATGTCAGAGCAGTCGGTGGTGGTAGCTGGGCACCATCTAGTTCTTCTGGGCTCAGGCTGGTGAAGGCTGTATTTCATGTGGCCATTAGTGCTTTGGACAGTTATTTTCCTTTTGTCTTTGATTATCTGCATTCTCCTTTGCCCCAGATGGGATGGGACCAATAGATGGCTGCTTGCAATCTTTTTAGACCTCAGACACTACTCACCAAAGTAGGATGTGGAACATTTTCTTTATGAATTTTGTTACGCTCATTGAGCTAGATGTCCCCCGAGACCATGATCCTCAACCCTCAGCCCAGTAATTTGGTTCCTCAAGGTGTTTGGATGTGTCTAGGAAGCTACTATGACTTTGTCTTGGTCAGATTGTGCTGACTTTCCTATATTGTGTGTTGTCTTTCTCTTCATCAGAGTTAAAACTTGTCTGTTATTGAGTTAGTGTTTTCCCTCCTCACACCTTCCCTCCCTTATAACCATCGAAGATTGTTTTTGTTTTTTTCTATATGTAAAACATTTCCTGAGTTTTTATAATAGTGGTCTCATACAATATTTACCCTTTTGTGGTTGACTTATTTCACTCAGCACAGTGCCCTCCAGATTCATCCATGTTGTGAGATGTTTTGCGGATTCGTCATTGTTCTTTATCCATTGTGAGTATGTACCATAATTTGTTTATCTATTAATCTGTTGATGGGCATGTAGATTGTTTCCATCTCTTTGCTATTGTGAATAATGCTGCAATGAACATGGCTGTGCATATGCCTATTTGTGTGATGGCTTTTATTTCCCTAGGGTATATTCTTAGGCGTGGAATTGCTGGATCTTATGGTATTTCCATTTCTAGCTTTTTAAGGAAACACCATATTGTTTTCCATAGTGTTTGTACCATTTTATGTTCCTGCCAGCGGTGCATAAGAGTTCCAATCTCTCCGCAGCCTCTCCAGCATTTTTTATTTTCTGTGTTTTTGAATAGTGCCAGTAATGTCAGGATGAGATGGTATCTCATTGTAGTTTTGATTTGCATTTCTGTAATGGCTAATGATTACAGGCATTTCCTCATATGTTTACTAGCCTCCTGAATGTCTTCTTTGGTGAAGTGTCTGCTTATATCCATTGCCCATTTTTTATTTTTCTTATTTGTCTTTTTGGTGTTAAAGTGTTGAAGTATTTTATAGATTTTAGAGATTAGACCCTTGTCTGATGTATCATAGTCAAAATTTTTTTCCCAGTGTGTGCGTTCTCTTTTTATTCTGTTGGTGAAGTCTTTTGATGAGCATAAGTGTTTAATTTTTAAGAGATCCCAGTTCCCTAGTTTATCGTCTGGTGTTTGTGTGTTGTTAGTTACGATTTGTATTCTGTTTTTGCTATATATTAGGACCCCTAGCATTGTCCCTATTTTTTCTTCCATGATCTTTATAGTTTTTATATTTAGGTTTTTGATCTATTTTGAGTTAGTTTTTGTGTATGGTGTGAGATATGGGTCCTGTTTCATTTTTTTTTACAGATGCACTTCCAGTTTGGCCAGTACCCTTTGTTAAAGAGACTGTCTTTTCCCCATTTAATGGACTTGGGCCCTTTGTCAAAGATCAGCTGACCACGGTTGGATGGATTTACGACTGGGTTTTCTATTCTGTTCCATTGGGCTATGTGTCTGTCGTTGTACCAGAACCAGGCTGTTTTGACTACTGTGGCTGTATAGTAGGTTCTGAGATCAGGTAGTGTGAGGCTTTCCACTTTGTTCATCTTCTTGATAATGCTTTACTTATCTGGGGCCTCTTTCCTTTCCATATAAAGTTGGTGATTAGTTTTTCCATCTAGTTTAAGAATGCATTGGTATTTGGTTCAAGATTGCATTGTATCTTTAGATTGCTTTTGGTAGAATTGACATTTTCACAATGTTGAGTCTTCTTATCCGTGAGCTTGGTATGTTCTTCCATTTATGTAGGTAGGTCTCTTTTGGTTTCTTGCAGTAGCATTTTGTAGTTTTCTTTGTATAGGTCTTTTACGTACCTGGTCAGATTTATTCCTGAGTATTTTATTTTTTTAAGGGCTATTATAAATGGTGTTGCTTTCCTGATTTCCTTTTTATAGTTCTCTTCATTAGTGTCTAGGAATCCAACTGATTTTTGTATGTTTATCTTGTATCCTGCTACTCTGCTGAATCTTCCTGTTAGTTCCAGTAGTTTTCTTGTGGAGACCTTTGGGTTCTCTATGTATAATAAATCATATTATCCACAAATAGGGATAGTTTTACTTCCTCCTTACCAATTGGATGCCCTTTATTTCTTTTTCTTGCCTTATTGCTCAAGCTAGGACTTCCAGCACAATGTTAAATAGGAGTGATGATAAAGGGCATCCTTGTCTTTTTCCCGTTCTTGGAGGTAATGCTTTCAGCTTCTTTCCATTGAGAATAATGTTGGCTATTGGTTTTGTATAGATGCCCTTTATTAAGTAGAGGAATTTCCCTTCTATTCCTATTTTATTGAGTTTTTATCAGGAATGGGTTTTGGACTTTATTTTAAATACCTTTTCTGCATCGATTGAGATGATCATGTGATTCTTTTCTTTTGTTCCATTTATGTGGTGGATTACATTGATTGATTTTCTCATTTTGAACCATCCTTGTGTACCTGATATAAATCCCACTTGGTTGTGGTGTATTATTTTTTTGATATGATGCTGAAGTCTGTTGGCTAGAATTTTGTTGAGAATTTTTGCATCTATTTTCATGAGAGATAATGATCTGTTATTTCTTTTTTTGTGTGGTCTTTGACCAGCTTTGGTATCAGGGTTATGCTGGCTTCATAGAATGAATTCCAGAGTATTTCTTCCTTTTCTGTGCATGAAATAGTTTGAGTATTGCTGGTGTGAGCACTTCTCTGAATGTTTGGTAGAATTCCCAAGTAAAGTCATCCAGGCCAAGGCTTCTTTTTGTTGGGGTTTTTTTTTATTACCTCTTCAATCTCTTGTCTTGTTATGGGTCTGTTCAGATTTTGTACCTCAGTTTGTGTTAGTTTAGGTAGGTAGTGTGTTTCTAGAAATTTGTCCATTTCCTCCAGATTTTCAAATTTATTAGAGTACAATTTTTCATTATATTCTGTTATGATCTTTTTTATTTCAGTTGGGTCTGTTGTAATATACTCCATCTTGTTTCTTATTTGGGTTAGTTGGTTTCTCTCCTGTTTTTCTTTTGTTAGTTTGGCCAGTGGCTTGTCAGTTTTGTTCATCTTTTCAAAGAACCACATTTTCATTTTGTTGATTCTGTTGTTTTTCTGTTCTCTATTTCATTTATTTCTGCTCTGATCTAGATTATTTCCTTTCTTTTGGTGACCATGGGCTTCTTTTGCCATTCGCTTTCTGTTTGTTCAAGTTGTAAGGCTAAAGCTTTGTTATTGGCCCCTTCTTTTTTGATGTGTGTGGTGCACCTGGACTGGGCCGGGTTGCTTAGCTGCGGTGCAGTGGGGTGGAGCCAGTGGGGAGGGAGAGGGGAGGGGCCGGATCACTCAGCTACATTACTGCAGGGGTTGACTAGTGGGAAGAGAGAGGTAAGAGGTGAAGCAGACGGGGAGTGGACAGAGATAGATGGGGAGAAAATAAGGGCAGTTTGTACTTTGAGGCAGTTCGTACCACTACTTGCCAGAAGGGTGAGGGTTGGCGGAGCGTGCTCCTCTGATTACTGGATGAGAGTGTGTGAGCACTTCCTTGTGCTGCAGCCAGAGAACAGAACCTTACTTCACTCAGGTTTTGTCCACACAGTTCCTCTATCTCCTATTGGGAGCTCCATGAAGATGCCTTTCTGTCCTCCTCCTCATGTGGAGTTGGCCTTTATCTCAACATGGTAACACGGTACCCTGCCGGTTAGCAGGGATCCTCCACTCTGCATCTCTACTCGTTTGTTTTATCAGTTTCTTCTTCTCAGCAGCTTCTGATCTAATAATTTATCCTGTCTTTTAAAGTTCAGGGTTCCAGGATTGACTTCTGTATCTGTTCTACTTGGTTTTTTGGGTCTTTGGTTTAGAGGGACAGCTTGGTGACTCTGACTAGTCCACCATCTTGGCTCCACCTCTAGACTTTTTTTATGTGCTGCCTTTATAAGGAGTAAAACTGGAAAGTGTAAGAGATTGTTTTAAAAAACCCTAAGGTCATATACATTACTTAACTTGCTTTTCGTTTGACTGATGGTTAACCCTGATCCTTTGATACAGAAATTAAACAGACGAACTAAAGGATTATCTATGTTTAAGCTTTTTTACTGGGTTGCTGGCATTTTAAGAATCACAAATATTTATCCTTGTTTTTTTTAGAGTAGGGATTCTTAAGACTTAGAGACCGTGGATAAGTTTCAGTAGGGTTCATGAGACCCCTCAAATTGTTTGTAAATATTTGTTTACATAATGTATGTCAAATTTGCTACAGAAAGAGGCCTTAGCTTTCATCAGATTCTTAAGGGTGAGATGTTGCAGGAGGGATGAATGGATGACCCCAAAATGTTAAGAACCACAAACTTAAAGGAAGTATCCCTTTGGTCTGCAGTTTGTCTTTTTGTGTTTATACTATGGACAGTCATCACATATACATGCCTTCTAGGTGTTAGTGAGTATTTTGAAGCACTGTGAAATATCGGGTATGAGGGAAGACCTGTCAATTCTGCAGGACCAGTGTCGGGACCCCGCAGTGTCTGTCCGGAAGCAGGCCCTACAATCTCTTACTGACCTTCTTATGGTAAGAGGCAAGGTATTATGTATCTGGTGCATGGTATTTGACATTAAAAATAACTCAGCATGGTAATTACCTGTCGCTAAATACTATGCTATCCAGTGGAAACTCTACCAAGTCCACTGAGGAACTGTGCCTTGTAAGAGGAAGGAAGAGGCAACTTTTAATTGCACATTGTAGGCTGTTTCATATTAAATATAATTAGAAACTAATGCTAGAGAATGCTAATGGTTAGCCTTTTCTTAACTTCACCTCAAATCTCACATAGAAAAATCAGTTTTAAAATTAATTTGGTTAAGCCTGCGTTAGTTTTTGTCTATTAAGACATATATAGGTGATACTGCCAAAAGAGCAGCTCTACTAACACTATATGTAATTTAGTTCTATCAACTAATTAGCTGTTGAAGAATTTTAAAAATGTGTTTATTTATTTATTTTATGATAGAAGGCATTAAGCAATGCATTTTTTTTTTTTTTTATTCCTGTCAGCATCTGTTCTAATTGCTCCTTGGGATAAATATATTTATTGTTTGCTTTTATCTTGTATTACCAAAAAAGTGCTTATTTACTACTAACAATAGCATAACTTTAATGTATATGTTTAAATTTTCAGTCTGCACTGATTTATTATAACTAGTGATTCAGCTTTGTTTTTGCATTCATTTTGAGTGTTGTTGTTTTCACTTTATGCTTAATTTGCAATAGTACACATGATTATTTTTAGCGTGTCTCAAAACATTGGTTACAACTTCGTTGATTTGTATTTAGACTTAATACCATTAGACTTCATGACTTCATAATTTTAAAATCCTAAGGCCCAACCTCGATGTGTCCAGATTCAAAAAGCCTGGCTGACAGGGATCACCCCCGTTGTGATGGACTGTGAGAGCACTGTGCAAGAGAAGGCCCTGGAATGCCTTGACCAGCTCCTGTTGCAGAACATTAAGCATTACAGTAAATTTCATAGTGGAGATGACAGCCAGGTGCTAGCTTGGGCACTTCTTCCTCTCCTTACTACAGAAGGCCAGGAACTGAGGTATGTTAATTGTGTGACTTGTTTTCCTTACAGAAGGCCTTAAGTGTTTTTATTAATAAATTGATCTTGAAAAAAACCAGCTTTCTGAATTACTTGATATATATGAAGACTCAATTTTGGTCTTTTTTCTTGATCTTCTACTTCAAACTTCTTAGCATTTTTGTGGTGACTATTTTTGTGAAATGTCTGATCACTTTCTTTGGCTTTGTTCTGAATGCTCTCCAGATTTAAACTGATATCTTAATATGTAGTAGAAAACACTGATGGATATGGTACATTAATATTAGCTTTCCACAATGCTAGTTATTATAAAGATGACTTTCTAGTTCTTCCAGGTTAAAGTTTTCTTAACCATTTATTGAATTGGTTGGCTTAATAACACTGCAGCTTTTTTTTTTTTTCATTTGATAACATGTATTGAGTATGCACTGTGTACAGTCTATATCGTCGTTATGAACTAGGACCTGTAATGATATATTTTCATCTGTACTGCAGTAATCTTTCAGTTTGTTTGTGTTTGTGCTAGCTTGGATGCTTTTTCTTTTTCTTATTATACAAATACTTCCCTACTTGTTTGCGTATAGTTACAGAGGAATTATCATACAGTAGAAACAGTAATAGATTTAGCCTCCTTAAATGCTGTTCTGTGGCCTTGGCAAATCATATCTCTGGGCCTACTTTTCTCATTGGTAAGATGAGCCAGTTGGATTACGTGATCCCTTATGGTCCCTTTTTGGTGCTAAAACTCTGTGACTAAAAATGTATTTACTCATTAAATATTTTATGAGTAGCAACTATGTGGTTGATTCAAAGAAGTGTTTAAGAAAGAAAACTTAAACTTGATTTGAGAGGGTAAGACATTGCAGAGGAGTAAGTCACTTTCATTTAGAGTAATCAGGAAAATTCATAAAGGCGATGCGAGTTGAGTTGGCCTTTGAAGAATGGTGAGAGTATTGATAGAGGTGTAATAGAGAACATGATAGACAGGAAAATGACATGGTAGTGTGTTTCTGGGAATTTGTCCGTTTATGTCTTTGTTGTTATTAACTTTTGTATTAAAGTATAATGTGTATACCAAACCCGTTACCATCGAGTCAATTCCAACTCATAGCGACCCTATAGGACAGAATAGAACTGCCCCATAGGGTTTCCAGGGAGCAGCTGTGGATTCGAACTGCTGACCTTTTGGTTGGCAGCTGAGCTCTTAACCACTGTGCCACCAGGGCTCCATAATATGTATAGAAAGGGTTAACAAATCATAAGCTCAATAAATATCATAAAGAAAATATATCCATGTAACTACCACCCAGGTCAAGAAATAGAACATTACCAGGCCCCAGAAGTACCCTCACATCCCCTTCCAATCACCGTCTTTCCCTCCTGCTCAGAGGTAACCAATACTGTTAGTTTTCTCTCTTTGTAAACTTTATGTAAATAGAATTATATGGTATGTTTTCTTTTGTGTATCTGGCTCATTTCACTCAGTATAAAGTAACAGTCATTCAGGTTGTTGTATATTGCTCTTGCTCATTGATTTTAATTGCTCTGTGTGTGTGTTGTGTGTGTGTGTACATATTTATGTACGTGTGACATTTTTTACTAAGCCACAATTTGTTTACTCATTCTACTATTGATTGATAAAAGGGTTGTTTTCAGTTTTTCATTATTTGGTTTAATGCTGCTATGAATATTCGTATACATATATTTTTTTTAATTAATATTGTGTTTTTGGTAGAAGTTTGCACAGAATGTTAGATTACCATTTAAAAATTTCGACACAAATTGTTCAGTGACATTAGTTACATTTTTCAGAAGGTGTCAGCATTCTCTTTAATTGTGTTCTGGTTGTTCCATTTCTAGTACTTTAGTTTCCCAGCCCCCTTGTTGTCTCATCTCTGCTTTAGAGTAAATACTGACCTTTTGGTCTCATGCATACAGTTTTTTAGTAGAGCACTGTTCTTAGGGGTAATAGCCTTTATTTTGTGTGCCACTCTGCTATTTTGCTAAAAGGTGATCTCATGGTATAGTTCTGGTTGAAGGTTTAAAGAGTGTCTCAGGGTGATAGTCTCAGGGAGTCCTCTGCTCTCGACTGGCCCAGTTAATCTGGCCTTTTTTAAGAATCTCAGTTTGTTCTGCATTTTTCTCCAATTATATCCAGGACCATCTGTTGTAACTCTGGTCAGAATAGTCAGTAGTGGTAGCCAGGCACCATCTAGTTCTTCTGGTCTCAGCATAGATGAGGCTATGGCTCTTGTAGGCTACCGGCCTTGTAGACTTTGGTTACCTTCTTACTCTTTTGCTCCTGACAAGTAGAGACCAATAGTTGTGTCTTAGATGGCTGGTTACAAACATTTAAGACCCCAGACTCTACTCACCTCACTAGGATGCAGAACATGAACTTTGTCAACTATATTATACCAGTTGACTGAGTTGTCCTGTGAGACTGTGGTCCTAAGCCTTCAAACCCAGAAAACCAGTCTTGGAAGGTGTTTGGTTATGTCTGAGTAGTATCTGTAGTTGTGTCTTCAATGAATATATGTGCCTGCACACACGTACACACATATCTGTATTTACATGTATGTATAGATGCTTCTGTCTGTTCTCACATATGTATGTACCTGTACCTACCCATATACCTATATGGATATAGCCATCCATATGTGATCATGTACTCGTTTTTTGGTCTTTGTTGGAGTTGTTCTCGTATCTATGTTAAATTCTTTGGTATAGGCATGCTTTTCTCTTAAGTGCTTCTCATCGACACCATTTACTTTGGTCATGTTGTGCTCACTACACCCACATTTGGTGCCACTTTTCCCATCACCAGTAATAACAAGTATTTATGATCTAAAGCTTGCTTCCCTCCCCCTCTTTCTTTCCCTAGTAACTACCAATAAACATTGGTCTCTTTATATATATATTCTTGTTTTCTTATAAAAGAGAGATCATACAATATTTGTCCTTATGTGCTTGACTGATTTCACTTAACATTATGCCCTCCAGGTCCATTCATATTATATGTTTCACAGACTCATCATTATTTTTTATGGCTGTGTAGTATTCCATTGTATGTATGTACCACATTTTGTTTATCCGTTCGTCTGTTGAAGGGCACTTCAGTTGTTTCCCCTTTTTTAGTATTGCTGAATAAAGCCACACATGTCTGTTCGTGTCACTACTTTTAGGTCTCTAGGTTATATACCTAGGAGTGGGATTGCTGGATCTTAAGTAGTTCTATTTCTAGTTTTATGAAGCAGTGACATGCTGTTTTCCATAGCAGTTGTACCATTTTACAGTCCCACCAGGAGTGTAAAGAGTCTCCTCACATCCTCACCAACATTTGTTGTTACCTTTTTTGTTTTGTTTTTTAAAAAAAAAAAAAAAAAAAAAAAAAA